GTTGATTTTGTCTGGTTTGCCTGACCATATAAACTTAAACATAATGGATTCGAGGTCTTTGATAAATTTGTTTGGTGGGTCAGGCAAAACAGAAAATAGATATGCAAATTGAGATATGCCAAGAGATTTAACATAGTGATTTTTCCAAATGGTGTTAAATCTCTCATGGACCATAAGCTAAGCATTTTTTTAAGTTTTTCTAACTTAGGGATAAAATTTAATTCGAACAAATTTGCAGAAAAAGTAACGCCAAGCATACTTACTGGACCTTCAGTAAAACCTAGTCCCGTGTATGAAATGTCTGTAGGCGTTTTTTTTTAATACACCAAATGGGAGCACCACATATTTGTCAAAATTAATAGCCAACCCTGAACAGTGCTTAAATTCCTCAAGTGCATCCAATACGTGCAGAAGTGCGGGAATGTTTTTCAAAAATATTGTTGTGTCATCAGCGTATGCGCTAATTTTGACAGAAATGTTTTCTATTGTAATGCATTCTATTCTTTCGTTTTTTCGGATATTAATATTAAGAATTTCGCTACATATTATAAAAAGATAGGGGCTAAGCGGGCACCCTTGTCGGAGCCCTCGACTAAGCGGAAAAGGGAAGTTGAATGTCCGTTATTGATTATACATGAAGAGATATCCGAGTAGAGAGCTTGAATGTACCTGATAATACTCTTTCCAAGATTAAAATGTTCAAGTACTTTAAAAATAAACGGCCATTCAAGCTTATCATATGCTTTTTCAAAATCGACCATGAAAATCATACCGTCCAATTCTTTTTCATTTAAATACTGAATAACATCAAGACCATGATGAAAATGCTTATATTTAATTTCAAACACACGTGTGTGGCCTATATTATAAATAAGATAAGCCCTATGTCGTATTGTTTTCTATATGGGGAGTGGTGTGGGGTGGGCATGGTAAATTACTAACCGGGAAAATAAATACCCACTCCGACCCAAGACCCCTGTTACGCGCCATGTGTGCCCTTGTGCGGACACGGGATGTGCCCCCCCCCCCTAAAGCTTGAAACCTTGTTTTTGCAAAATAAATTGATGCAATTTGTTATTATAGGCCTAATCAATAAATTCCTCATCAACCGATATAACCTTAAACATTCTTGGAATTGACTTAACATTACTGATGTACACACCCTTCAGTGTGAAATATGACTTTCTTTGCAAGCACATCTAACATCTAAGGAAAGAAGAGCTTAGATTGGTACCAGATAACATAATTTTGTTATCAACATTAATACATTATGCTAATTTTTATCTTTGTAAGCCCATAATACAGTGCAAATTATTTCTGCGACAGTCTTTTGAAGTGTGTAAAGCTCCATTTTATCCCATACATAGTCCAAATATGTCGTATTGTTTTCTATATGGGGAGTGGTGTGGGGTGGGTATGGTAAATTACTAACCGGGAAAATAAATACCCACTCCGACCCAAGACCCCTGTTACGCGCCTGGTGTTAGCCCTGTTACGCGCC